ATGTTAAGAGGTTCTATAAAATCCATTAATACCATCAGAATACCATATAATTCTGACTTTTGGACAGAATCATAAGGGCTTTGAGACATTTTACTTAAATTTCCTGATGTATAACCTGCCTTTCTTGATTTGTCTGCATCAGTTTAAAATGTAGGGGCTCCAGAAATTGGTGTTTCCCATACAATATTTAGAAGAACCCAGTTAGTTCTATTTATAAATTTAATCATATTGCTTTTGGGATTTTTGTTGTTAATCTCTCCCAAAAAATCACTGCAAGCTCTTTGCCAATGTTTATTTTCTGCCCATAATGAGTCAATTTCATCATTTGTGAAAGGTACTACAGTTTCTGCTGGGTGTATTCCTGCTAATTGATGAACTGTCAACTTTTCTTTTAGAATCAACTCAGAGACCTTTTCTAGATAAGTATTTAATTTTTTACTCTGTTTATGTGGTCAAAAGATCCATTCTAAATTAATATCTTCCCTCTGCATTACTATTCCTGTAGACGAATGCATAGAAGGTAAAATAACCAGAATGAAATCAAGCTCTGGATCCAAATAGTCCACATATTCATCCTGTACTTTCTTTTCCACCAAAGCCAATTCTTTCTCAGCCGCAGCTGATAATTCTCTTGGACTATTTAAGTCCTTGTTACCATTTATAGTTTTGAACAAATTACTCAGTCATCATTTTTTACCCTAATAATGGGCCATAGATTGGAAATGTCTCCTAGCAATATTTGAAAGTCATTTAGAGTTCACAACTGATTTGTTCTAATTTGCACCTTTTGGGATCTAATTTTTTAGACCTATTTTATATCCTAAATAATTAATAGAATCTTCTCTTTGTAGTTTTTCAGGAGAAATTTGTAATCCCCAACAAGGCAAAATTTTCTTTACTTCTTCAAACATTTTCTCTAAAGTATCTACATTTGAATCAGCTAGTAAGATGTCATCCATGTAATGGTTAACTATAGATAAAAGAACTGCTTATGTATCATTTCCAATGGTTGACATACAAAATATGGCACAGGATAGGGCTATTTAACATTCCCTGTGGGAGAACCTTCCATTGATAACTCTTAACAGGCTGAGAATTATTATAAGTAGGCACCATGAAGGCAGATTTTTCTCTGTCTTTTTCTTGTAAAGGTATAGTGAAGAAACAGTCTTTTAAATCAATAACTATAAGAGGCCATCCTTTATGTAATAGAGGAGGCAAAGGAATTCCAAACTGTAGAGAGCCCATTTGCTGATTCACTTTATTAACAGCTCTTAAATCAGTTACCATTCTCCATTTTCCAGATTTCTTTTGTTTGAGCTTTTTATTTATTTATTTTTATTCTATTTTATTTTTTTCATTTTTCTCTATTAAGAAATTTTCTACTCACTCCACATACCACCCACAGATCCCCCTCCTCCTTCCTCTCATCCCACCCCTCTCTCCCAAGCCACCCTACATCCCCACATCCCCCAAATCAAGGTCTCCGATGGTGAGTCAGCAGAGCCTGGCACACTGAGCCTAGGCAGGTCCAAGCCCCTTCCCACTGCACCAAGGCTGTGCAAGGTGTCACACCACAGGCACCAGATTCCCAGAAACCTGCCCATCCACCAGGGACATATCCTGATCCCCCTGCTTGGGTGCCCCTCAAACATTTTGAGCCAAACAACCATCTTCTATATCCAGAGGGCCTAGTCCAGTCCCATGGTGGCTCCACAGCTACCAGTCTACAGTTCATGGGCTTCCACTAGTGTGGCCCGACATCTCCGCATATCCTCCCATCATGATCTCAACATCCCTCACCTGCAGAATCCCTCCTCTCTCTCATCAATTAGATTCCCAGAGCTCAGCCTGGTGCCATGCCGTGGATCTCTGCATCTGCCTCCATCAGTCACTGGACAAAGGCTCTATGATGACAGTTAGGTATTCACTAGACCAGTCACCAGAGTAGACCAGTCCAGGCACCCTCTGGACTACTGCCAGAAGACCAAGGTGGGGTCATTCTTGTCAATTCCTGAGAGCCTCCCCAGCACCCTGCCTCTTTCTATTCCCATGATATCCTCATCTATCATGGTATCGCCCTCCCTGCTCCCCCACTCTGTCCCTGTTCCAGCTTGACCCTCCCATTTCTCTATGTTCTCATTCCCAACTCCTCACCCAACACCCAGTCCACTCCTGTAGATCTCATCCACTTCTCCTTCGCAGGGTCATCCATGTGTCCCTCCTAGGGTCTTTCCCTGTTAGCTAGCCTCTCTGGAGTTGTGGGTTGCATTCTGGCCATCCCTTCCCTCACATCTAGTATCCACTTATGAGTGAGTACATACCATGTTTGTCCTTCTGAGTCTGGGTTACCTTACTCAAAATGATATTTTCTAGTTCTATCCATTTGCCTGCAAATTTCATGATATCATTGTTTTTTACTGCTGAGTAGTACTCCATTGTGTATATGTGCCACATTTTCTTTATCCATTCTTCAGTTGAGGGGCATCTAGGTTGTTTCCAGGTTCTTGCTATTATGAATAATGCTGATTTGAACATAGTTGAGCATGTGTCTTTGTGGTAAGATTGAGCATTCCTTGGGTGTATGCCCAAGAGGGGTATAGATGGGTGTTGAGGTAGATTGATTCCCAATTTTCTGAAAAACTGTCATACTGATTTCCAAAGTGGCTGTACAAGTTTGTACTCCCACCAACAGTGTAGGAGTGTTCCCCTTGCTCCACATCCTCTCCAACACAAGCTGTCTTCTGTGTTTTTGATCTTAGCCATTCTGACAGGTGTAAGATGGTATCTCAGAGCTGTTTTGATTTGCATTTCCCTGATGACTAAGGATGCTGAGCAATTCCTTAAATTGGCCATTTGAGATTCTTCTGTTGAGAATTCTCTGTTAAGCTCTGTAGCCCATTTTTTAATTGGGTTGTTCAGCATTTTTAAGTCTAGCTTTTTGAGTTCTTTATATATTTTGGAGATCAGCCCTCAGTCAGATGTGGGTTGGTGAAGATATTTTCCCATTCTGTAGGCTGTTGCTTTGTCTTATTGAGTATGTACTTTGCTTTAAAAAAACTTCTCAGTTTCAGGAGGTCCCATTTATTAATTGTTGTTCTCAGTGTCTGTGCTACTGGAGTTATATTTAGGAAGCAATCTCCTGTGCCAAAGTGTTCCAGACTACTTCCTACTTTCTCTTCTATCAAGTTCAGTGTAACTGGACTTATGTTGAGGTCTTTGATCCACTTGGACTTGAGTTTTGTGCATGGTGACAGATATGGATCTATTTGCAATCTTCTGCATGTTGACATCCAGTTATGCCAGCCCCATTTGTTGAAGATTATTTCTTTTTTCCATGGTACAGTTTTGGCTTCTTTGTCTAAAATCATATGTTCATAGGTGTGTGGATTAATATCAGGGTCTTCAATTTGATTCCACTGGTCCATGTGTCAGTTTTTATGCCAGTACCAAGCTGTTTTTATTACTATAGCTCTATAGTAGAGCTTGAGGTCAGGGATCGTGATGGCCCCAGAGGTTGCTTTATTATACAGGATTCTTTTAGCTATCCTAGGTTTTCTGTTTTTCCATAGAAAGTTAAGTATTGTTCTTTCCAAGTCTGTGAAGAATTGTGTTGGGATTTGGATGGGGATTGCACTGAATCTGTATATTGCTTTTGGTAAGATTGCCATTTTTACTATGTTGATTCTACCTATCTATGAGCATGGGAGATCTTTCCATTTTCTGATATCTTCTTCAATATCAGGGGAAACTGTGGTCGATATATAAAATCAATGAAAACAATGTTATTTAAATAAAATAAAATAAAGTGAAAAGAAAAGCTGGATACAAACAAGCTAAGCTAAGGCCAGGCATTCGTAAGAAAGAATAAACCTCTGTGTGGTTTATTTGGAACCTGGTAGTGGACCCCAAAGAACAAATGAATAAGTAAACAACCAATAAAACTCACCATTTGTATTTCCTTTTCTTTTTTTGAGACAGGGTTTTTCTGTGTTGTTTTTAGTGCCTATCCTGGATCTCACTCCATAGACCAGGCTGGCCTTGAACTTAGAGATCCGACTGGCTCTACCTCCTGAGTACTGGGATTAAAGGCGTGTGCCACCACTGCTGTATTCACCATTTGTATTTCTTCTTCTGAGAACTCTGTGTTTATTCCATAACCTGCTTTTAATTCAATTTTTTTTGTGTTGTCAGTCAGTTTTAGGGAGTTGGTTGTGTAGTTAGATGGTCAGGGGAATTTATTGAGAGCATCCACATGCTACAGAAGCCTTGGTTACCAGCATCTTCTCTGGTTATCTGCTCCCATCTATGTTGGCATATTTGTTGTTTGCCTGTGTCACATCAAGAATAGTCTAACTGTTCCAGTCAATTATGAATTTGTGCTTCATGATTTCTAGCTGCATCTTACTATTTCCTGTGAAACATTGTCCATACATCTCTTACGTCAGCCATTGGGATTCCAGGGAACAGCATCATCCCAACCCCGTGACATCTGTGAAAATTTAAAACAAGAATAGTAAGTGCATAGAGGAACTGTTGCCAAGCCTAGAGCTGTGTGGTAGAATGGAGTCAGAGATAGGTCTTGTGCAAAAACATATCTTCTTCCTCTTTTGTATGGGATGTCATCATCCTGGCCTCTACCCTGCTCTATCCCATGGGTGGGTCCCACTGTGTGGACTGTATCACTAGTTCTGTTTGCTGTTTATGCGATGGTCTGGCATGAGGCACTGCCATGGTCCTTGGAGCTGCTCTTCTTGCACTTGGTAAGTGAGATAGTGATCATTACAGAGTGGTAATGAATACAGAATCCAAGATTTATAATCTGGGCTCCACTCACAGAACTCTCCCTCTATGAAGACCTGGCCTAGTGGTATCAGAGGAGTGCTCTCTGGTCTCAGGCTGTCCATTTGGCCCCCGGGTTTTGATCTGAGCTCTGGGGTTGGGATCAGTGTAAAAGAGGGCAGACTTCTCTCACCAACTATTTTTCTTTTCTATTTCAGTGTGTTTAATAGAACAGAGGATCTGGGCACAGCATGGTGAGTCTGTCCTCTGTTTTAGCCATGGGAAACTATATTTGGCTGGGAGTAGCAGGGGAGGAGATTGAGGCATCTTGAGCAGATCCTGAGATGGAATTTTCATTGGCAGCCACTAGCACACTTACTTAATGATTCGTCCTTACTATTGCAGCCATCTTTGGGATGGGGATTCTCCACCAAGAGCAAGTAATGCCCACATGGTATCTGGCTTAGAAGAACACTGAAATGAATGTTATAGAGGAGGGGGCACCTGGACACATGTTTCCTTCTGAGAATACAGACATTTGATTTTGAATTTGTTTTCCTTTTCTTCCCATTTCGTCTCACCTGGGCTGTGTCTGGTTTTCTTACTGTGTTCTGCCCTTGGGAAGACACATCATCCAGGAGACAGAATTGAAGTAAATGCTGTTTAATGTGGGTGTGGCACAGACAGGATTCATTTATTTTTGGAGGCTCCGAGTCTTTGTGTGATATTGGAGGGGGGCAAAGAGGTCGGGTTTTACATGGAAGCAAGAGACAAAGTAAGTCGTAGGTCAGTGATTTAACCGGGATTTCATGTTGATTGGCCCAGAGAAGTGGGGAGGTTTAATGATGAGAATTAGCAACCCACAGGGTCCATTCATGTGCTGGTAGGAGACAAGGAGAGAAGCCACTGATAGCATTAAGGTTTAAAAGTTATTCTGACATTGTTTGGGAACAGTAAAGATGATTAGGCCTTTGGAACTATGCCATAGGCTCCATTCTGAAAACAATGAGACTTCTCTCTTGAGGTGTGCTGGTTAGTTTTCTTTCAACATGGCACAAGCTAGAGTCCTCTGGGAAGAAGAAACATCAGCTGAGGAATTGTCCCCACCATAATGGCCTGTGGGCATGTCTGTGGGGCATTTTCTTAGTTAGTAATTGTTGTGGGAGCTACTCTATAGCTCCTTGGGAACGTGGCCCTCTTGACATCAGATGACTAGCAATCTTTTCCTGTGTCTCTCCAGGGCCACCACCCGAGCCTTCCATCTGGGCAGTTCCAGGAGCTGTGATTTCCACAGGCAGTGCTGTGACCATCTTCTGCAGGACCCCTCCAGGAGTGACTTATGTGCGTCTAACCCATTATGTGCAGGATGGAAAGTGGTTTGATTGCATCCCACAGGGAGCCCAGGAGGTGTTTGAATTCAGTCTGCAGAATATGACACAAGGC